GAGTTCTGGGAGTATTTCCGTGCAGTAAGAAAAGGGCCCAAAAAAAAAAAAAAAAAAAACACCCACACCAAAAAAAGCAAGTTGTGGAGGAAAAGCAAATCCCCAGGGGAGGTACAATGTGCTGTGAGATGCGGTGGATGTCACAAGAGTCAAGGTTTCAAAGGCAGATTTGTGGAAGACAAAACTACAGAGTGACCACACGCAGGGAACCATATTTGGCTCAGGAGCTGCTTTCCAACATGGCATCTTTTCTGTATAACAGAGGGGCTGAAGCCACCGCTCGCCAGTTCAGGTATCTCTGCTCCTGTCTGTAATTACCTGGATTGTTTTTACTATCTCCTCTTCTGGCATCGCTGGCTCAGGTTTTTTTTTGTACTGAGACTGCAAGGTAAGAGGGGACAGCGAGGTTCAGAGCCTACCACGTCGTTCTATAACAAATCACTACAACCAGCATCTGAGAGAGAACGAGAAACCATTTGCAATTATTTTATTATGACTTAAAATAACATTTTTTCAAGGAGGGATCACAGTTCTGTACCTTCTCTTTTTCTCCTTGTTTTCTGCCCGCACATCCAGGTAGGTAAGACCTCTCTCTGCTGCAACACCCACCACCCCCACTTGCGTTGGGTTTGTGGTACCTGACGGCCAAACTCCAAGGATTTTGCTGAGCAAAGAGATTTAACTCAGTTTTGCTGCCGCTGTTCCCGGACAGGTCCCACCTGATTGTCAGTCTCGTTCCTGGAGCACAGCAGAGCTGTTTCACGTCCGATAGCCCCTGTTTCAGCGCTGGGTTGTGCCTGGCTGCATCCCTGTCCCCTTGCCTGTCCCTCAGGTCCCCGGTCATTTTTAACCTCTTGGCCTATTTCACCCACTCCTGAGAAAGAAATTGCATTTTCAGAGATGCTCCGTGCCTACAAGCAATGAATATTTCCTCCAGGTTGCAGGCAAGTTTGTCTTGCATGTGTACCAAACAGAAGAGAGGATGATGAACATGGGCAGGAGAGGACAGCATCCGGGGAACCCCATCCGACTTGCAGTTTCCTTTTCTTAAACGACTGCAACATAAAATCAGCTATTTTAAAAGCACCAGCTTTTAGCAATGCTGTTCCAGCCCCCTAGCTGCATCGTGTGCCTGGTGCTGCAGCGTGCCCTTTAGCTGTGGGTTTTCTGGCCACGGTGGGAGGGGGAGCAGCCAAGGGGACCCTTCCCTGGGGACCCGCCATCCCTGATGGGTGATGTGGTTGCGGGGAGACTGGCACAGCATAGCAGCTTCCAGGTCCCTGGGAGCAGAACAGCACAAAAGTGACCAGCAAAATCCTCCTTTTGCCTCCAGCTTCATTGCTCCTGGGTGGAAGGATTGGTCCCAGCCTCCCCAGGCTGTGTCCATCTCCCAGCCACCCTGGGGCTGGTTTTGTCCCCATCCCGCTCGCCTCTTCTCTTCCACATGGCCCCAGCAGCGAGCGGGAAGCATGGCCATCACCGTGCCCTGTCCCGTCCCGTCCCGTCCCCCCCCCAAAGTGTGACATCAGCAGAGGGGTTTCTGAGGTAGGAGATGGTGGCTGCGGGACCCTGTGTCAGCCCTGGCCATGGTAGAGATGTGCACGTGGAAGCTGCTAACAACTTTTATTCGTCACATGCTGGAAACACCTCTGTACCATGTATTGGCTTTTTTATTCCTCAAAAAAAAGGCACACAGGCATATCATACGCATGTCCTGGACGGGCAACGCGGGGCTGGGGCGATGCGAGGTGGGATGAGGCTCCGCAGCACTTTGAAGCAATGCAGCAGCTTTCACACAGGTGCAAATTTGGGAGGAAGACGCAGAAATAAAACTCTTTTTATTTTTGCACAAGTCCCTCCAGTGTGGGGAGGCCGGTGAGACGCAGGCAAGCTGGGGCAGTGCTGGGCTGCTGCCGGGGAGCAGGATTGGCAGGGGTGGGCATGCAATGGCGCTGCCTCAGATCTGGGTGCGGAAGCACAGGTCGGTGCCCAACATCTTCTGTGCGTAGTCCTGGTCAAAGCGCTCGCTCTGGGCCACGGTGAAGTGGTTCTTCCAGTCTCCAGCGGTGCCTGGGGCCGGGAGAGACAGGGCTCAGCAGGGGCCGGGGGGGACGATGCACTGGGAGCCCCCCGGAGCCGCTCACCTTTGCGCATGAAGGGGGAGATGCCCTGGTCCATGAGGTGGGAGGGCACCATGCTGTAGTTGGTGGTGGGGTTGTCCCGCATGGCCTCGAAGGAGGTGTGTCGGGTGATGGCGTCCAGCGCTGCCTCCGGCAGCTCCTGCCCCAGGAACTGGGCCACCTTGGCAATCTCCCGACGGAGGTCCTGCGGGACGCAGGCCCATGCTCACCCCTCCGGCCACCCCCCCAGACCCCACACCACCATCCACCCCGGTCTCTCACCTCCTTCAGGTCCTCGTAGAAGAGGTAGAGGATGGGGTGATCCTTCCTCCGCTCCCAGTAGTCCTTGACGTGGTCGTACCAGGAGCCATATGCCACTGTGTGGGGAGAGCAGCCGGGGGGGTGTCAGTGGGTGACAGTACCCCACAGGGTCCCCACATGCACCCACGGGTGCCCTGTCCCACCTCTGCCAGCCATGAACTCCTCCAGGTACTGGGCCCACGTCCCGGGGTGCGGCTGGAGCTTGTTCATCAGGTCAAAGTGGTAGAAGGAGACGGCCACGTCCTTGGCGTTGCGCCCCACGTAGATCATCTGCAGAGGGGCCGTGGGGTACGAGAAGCAGCCCCAGGACCCCCAACAGGGGGGATGCTCCAGCCCCTAGGTCTCCTGATGGCACTTAGGATGCTGGAAGGAGCAGCATCTCCTGCTCTGGGGGAACAGGGGGGCTGCAATGCCCCCCAGGGCAGAGACCAGGGTTGGGGGTTACCTTGCAGCGGTTTTCCCAGAAGGATTTGGGCAGGATATGTGCGGGCAGGTGGGTCTTCACCACGCGGGGTGAGGGCATGGTGGCCAGCAGGTCTGTCCCTGGAGGACCCCAAAGCACGTCCCCAGCGGGCACTCACCAGAGTGCTCCCGGGCTCAGCCCTGGGTGGGGTGCCCACAGCCAAGCCCCTACACCCCGCTACCTGCTGGCATCTCCCCAGGGGCAGAGAACTCCAGCATGGGCACCCTCTTCGTGATAATGTCCCGCTTGCACTTCTCGGGGTCGCCGCCTTGCAGGACCATGTCCACGATCTCGCTGACCCAGGTGGTGCCTGAGGAAAGCATCCCGCCAGGGGGGCAGCCAGGGCGGCGTTGAGGGGCTCAGCACTGACAACCCCCCGGACCCTGATCGGGCACCATGGGGGTGAAGGGAAATCCTGCATGGCTCTGTCCTGACAGCTCCAACTGTGCTGAGTCCCTCCGGCAGCAGGTCCCAGCCATGCAAACACACTCACCCACCCAGCACCACCACGTCTGGTGGGCTTGGGGACGCTCACCGGATTTGGGGAAGGTGACCACCACGATGTCCTCGGGGCGGCTCTGGAAGGTGTCAACCCGATCCCAGTCGTGGGCGAAGGCGTTGACCATGGGGATGCCGTGCACCATGCGCCAGGGCTGCCGCAGGTAGGTGTCCGGATCGGCCATCCTGCTGGGGACAGAGACGCGGCGGGGTCTGGCAGCGGTGAGAAGGGTGGCCCTTGCCCTCCCAGGGTGGCTTCAGGCCAGGGCAGCGTGGGCACCTGGCACCATGCCTGCCCGGGGAGCGGCAGTGACACCGCCAGCGCAGGGACCAGAGATCACCATGGCCCCAGCGAGGGCTGGGGGTGCCCACGGGGTGCCAGTGTCACCCAGACCAGGCACCTCTCCCCCCGCCTCAGCACCCCAGGGGAGCAGGGAACCGGCTCCCTGGGGTTATCACAACAGCCCCCAGCCCAGGGGGAGGTTTAGAGGTGCTGTCTGCACCCCGAAGTACCCCAAACCCACCACCCTGGACCCTGCAGCGTGCGGCCCCGAGCAGCTGAGCATGGACAGGGCACCCACAGGACACCCCGGGGCACCCAGCTCACCTAACGCCGTGCCGCTCTGCGCCGGGAGGGCGACTCAGGGAGGGCGACCACAGCGGACAGGGAGACGCGGGGCCCCACGAGTGTTTGTACAGGGAGGAGAGGGGAAGAGGCAGGGCGGGCGAGGGCAGCGGTGTTTGGAGCGCTGCGGCTGCCAGGAGGGAGGAGCGAGAACGGGGAGAAGCTGGCGGCCACTGACTGATCTTCCGGCGGGGCCTTGGCGGACATCTTCCCACCAGCCCCGCTCCCACCCACAGCTCGGTCCCAAGACATGTTCCCCTGCGTGGGGACGGGGAGGCCACCGTTCGCTGCCCGCGCCCAGGTGGCACCTTCCCCACACGCGGTTTTGCCAAAATCCTCTGCGATCCTGAGAGCTGCCCGTGGCAATCCCCCCTGCACGGTGGCCGAGGGGACGTGGGGTGGCACTGGCTTGTCCCCAACCCGAGGAGAGGCCAGCGGCCCCGGGGGGACGGCTGTGGTGGGGTCAGTGCAGGCACGGGGCAGTGAGCATCCCGTGGCAGGGCCAGGGAGGGCGTTTTATTTCTCGCCAGCAGTCCCAGGAGAGAGGAAGGAGCCCCCAGCGCGGTGGCGGTGCCATCGGCACAGGTCGCATTTGGGGGGCATCCAGCGGTGCCTCCTCAGATCTGGGTGCGGAAGCACAGGTCGGTGCCCAACATCTTCTGTGCGTAGTCCTGGTCAAAGCGCTCGCTCTGGGCCACGGTGAAGTGGTTCTTCCAGTCTCCAGCGGTGCCTGGGGCCGGGAGAGACAGGGCTCAGCAGGGGCCGGGGGGGACGATGCACTGGGAGCCCCCCGGAGCCGCTCACCTTTGCGCATGAAGGGGGAGATGCCCTGGTCCATGAGGTGGGAGGGCACCATGCTGTAGTTGGTGGTGGGGTTGTCCCGCATGGCCTCGAAGGAGGTGTGTCGGGTGATGGCGTCCAGCGCTGCCTCCGGCAGCTCCCGCCCCAGGGACCGGGCCACCTTGGCAAACCAGACCCCACACCACCATCCACCCCGGTCCCTCACCTCCTTCAGGTCCTCGTAGAAGAGGTAGAGGATGGGGTGATCCTTCCTCCGCTCCCAGTAGTCCTTGACGTGGTCGTACCAGGAGCCATATGCCACTGTGTGGGGAGAGCAGCCAGGGGGGTGTCAGTGGGTGACAGTACCCCACAGGGTCCCCACATGCACCCACGGGTGCCCTGTCCCACCTCTGCCAGCCATGAACTCCTCCAGGTACTGGGCCCACGTCCCGGGGTGCGGGTGCAGCTTGTTCATCAGGTCAAAGTGGTAGAAGGAGACGGCCACGTCCTTGGCGTTGCGCCCCACGTAGATCATCTGTGGAGAGCTTGGTGATATGTAGGGACTTGCAAGGTCCTGGTGGGGCAGGTCCCCCCCTTATCTCTGCTGGTCCCTCCAGGTGCATCCCCTCCAGCCTGTCACCTTGCAGCGGTTTTCCCAGAAGGATTTGGGCAAGATGCAAGCTGGGATGTGGGTCTTGATGATGCGAGGGGACGCCATGGCCTCCAGCTGCTCCGTGCCTGCAAAGGAGATTTCCCCCGGGAGCGCTCCCACTGCCAGCGGGGTGCCACCCCCCCCAAAAAAAACCAAGCCTGCCCTGCATCTGACACTCGCTGCCCCCTGCCACCCTGCTACCTGCCGGCATCTTCCCAGGGGCGGCGAACTCCAGCATGGGCACCCGGTTGACAATGGCATCCCGTTTGCATTTTTCGGCGTCACCGCCTTTCAAGATCATGTCCACGATCTCGCTGACCCAGGTGGTGCCTGGCGAGCAGAGGCTGGTGTCCAGCTGGCGCCATCCCCACCGGAGCCCCATCTCGGGCACCAGAGGGGCACCGTCCGCCGGCATTGCCTTTTGGCATCCCCCCAAGTCCCAGCCCAGGGGGCTGCAGGCTGGTGCCTCCCTTCCTGAGCGCGGTCCCTCTCCAGTGCCTGGGGACGCTCACCGGATTTGGGGAAGGTGACCACCACGATGTCCTCAGGGCGGCTCTGGAAGGTGTCGACCCGCTCCCAGTCGTGGGCGAAGGCGCTGACCATGGGGATGCCGTGCACCATGCGCCAGGGCTGCCGGAGGTAGGTGTCCGGATCGGCCATCCTGCTGGGGACAGGGATGCGTGGGGGGCTGGCTGGCAGCGGGGAGCATCACGGAGCCACCTCATCCCCCGGGGGTCCCCAAAGTCCTGCTGAGCCCAGCCATCCCGGCCATGGGAAGGAAACCATCCCCTGCTCGCTGGCATGGGGAGGTGGCTCCTGCCTCCCGCAGGGGTTTTGGGGGCCGGCTGGCGGTGCAGGGAGCGTGGCGGGGCACAGCCGGCCCTGGGGGGGCTCAGGTCAGCGCAGGCAGCGGGCAGCTGCCCGTACCAAGCTGGCAGCGCTGTTCCCGGGGTGTAAAAGCTCGCAGGGGCTTTGCTGCCTGAAACCGGCTGCGGAACCCTCGCGCTGGGATTTTTGGAGGCGGCTTTGTGGCTCGCCTCCCTCTCCCGGGGCCTTGCGGGGACACCGAGCCCCTCCGAGCCCCCCGCAACCCCCCCGG